GCGAACAGCTGGGCGTCGTTGAACACTCCGTTGTCGGCCTTAGGTTCTGCGTCGAACGCATCCCTCATGCTTCGCACCTAACGGAAACATGGACAACCCGGCAGTGAACTCGGTTAGGGTGTACTCGGACGAAAGCATGCAGACGAAACAAGAATGGTTTCAACGAAAATGCCGCCGGTTACATAATTCGTCATCACCCCACTTTTGGGCTACCCCCCGTTCCCCCCGTGGGTTTTCGTCGCTCGGCAACACGCCGATGGCTTTGTGAGCTCGACAAAAAGGTTGCCACTTTTTGTCGCCTTGGTGTTTGTTAGCGGCAAACATGATGGTGGTCGAGTACATCATGGTGTGCGGGGTGGACAACCTTCACTCTGCGCAAAGGGGATGGTGGCACCACTTTCTGTTGAATTGGTCGAGCACCCTCAACGTATTGACACTGTCCTTACTGCTGTCTCTGGAAGAGTGCAGCACGAAAACAAATTCAGGGTTACTCGCAGCTGTCATCCTTAGCCCAACACGCCGCACACCCAGCAGGATGTAGCGGCACGCCCCATGCGACTCGGCGAATACCTCACGGTGCTTCGCGCTTGGCGATGTCACAGACTGGTCCGGTGACAAGCCGGCATGATTCCGTCCCGGCTTTGTAGGGATGCCATGTCACCGGTCTAACGACTGCGGCATGCACGGCGATGAGTACTCCCCCTCCCCCCCCCGTCGCGCCGTCTAGGTAGCGTTTACTACCGCAAACTACACTCTCGCCCACTCACCTTTTGCTTTCCGGCTCTCCCCAGCCTCTTTCCGATGTCCTCGAAAGCCTTGTGGATCTCTATCGTTGGCAAATTTTTGAAGTGTAGCAGACGGATGAGTTCGGATTCCTTCTCGATGTCCTCCTCGCTCACGTCGTTTTCGTAGCGTCGTGGGCGCTCGTGCTCCATTCCGGCTGAATCTGGATCGGGGGTAAGATGCGCGAGGCAAACCTTTCCCTGCGCATCCGGTATCGGGAGGCAAGCGAAGCAGTGTCAACAGTACGCACATGATCGCAAGGTCTCCATGTTCAAACAAGCGGGTGCGCTCCTGTCATACCTCAGGCTACGCGCAGTTGATTTGGTAAGGTGCAGTCGGCAGTGATGTCCGGGGACGGACCCCTCGCCATGCGGTGCTGGCAAAATATATCAAGGGTGCCTCCTGAGTCCAAAGCGTCAGAGCTGGGATTCGAACCCGCGTGAACATCATTTGTTAAGAATGTCTAGCTTTGGGCTGCCTACATTAACACATCCAACGCGATCCATCCATTGTACCGACGTACTTCCCCTCAACTTAACTCACCTTTGCAACTTGCGGTGTATTCATGTCGGCCCCCCACCACAGCCCCAAGTGGAACTCGCAACCCACCTGGGATTCGGACAGGGTATAAACAACACGACAGTGTTGTGAGGGTACAGAAGAAATAAGTGTGTCCGCGCGAAGAGCGATGGCCATTTAGCGTTACGCCATTTGCGTTCCATGCGTTTCATACGCACGAAGACAAACCGCACACACACACACATACACACGGGAGGTGGACGAAGACAAACCGCACACACACACACATACACACGGGAGGTGGACTCACCTACGTCCCTTGTTGCGGTGCTTTCCTCGACAACTACAGCGCAGAGGGTGCGCAACCAGCAAGCAAGCAACATCAGAAAAGCCAACAAATTTGCCGGAAGAACGCGTTGGAGCATCGCCCGCACAACGGAGACCACAGCGAAGAGGTGCGGCCGCCGTGCGACCAACACAAGGTCCTGACCCGGCACACAACTACTCCTTGCGTCGACGCTCGCGTTTTCGAGCGCTTCATATTGCAGAGCGAGGGGGACTACAGCGCAGCAGCTCAGAACGTTCAACCGCGGACGATGTCCCGAAAAGTCCATGTATGCAGCGATCATGTTCAATCGGCGCCAAAAAGAAATGAAGTTCAACAACAAAGCGCGCCCAATGTCCATTTCCCATCGCGACTCCTCCGTTGACTTGTCAGATGACTCGTCACCCGACGCGCTAAAAAGAGGAGCCGAGACACAACGGTGGCGAGAGCTCAACATCGGGAGCTCCACATCGGTTCGTACTTCAGGCAGACAAACCTTCTGTGACTTTGTGTTGCGGCGAGCGCTCGGATCCGCGACACGTTCACACGCTCTCGGCCTCCCCCCCTGGCAGCACTTGATCCATACGGAGCTCCATCTGTTTCGCATGCGGGAGTTCTTTTCCTGCATTTTCGTGAAAAGCTGGAGGGGGGCGGCGGCAACACATTCAGATGTCAGCAGCCGTCGGATGTCCAACATGAGAGGCTGCGCATGTCGCTAATCATAAGGCGATTACGGTGGACGAGACGAAAAAGCCGAGCCCACAGGCATCTTTCGCACACACCAACAACACATGGAAACACGCAACGTCACCTTTGTTTTATTCTCTCTCTTCAGGCTGAAGCCGCGTCCGGTCTTCGCCATCAACATCGCGACTGCGTTGTCCATGGTTTTCTCCCCAAAGTTGCCGGTCCCGTCTTCGAGGTTGGGGAACTCTAGTTTCTTTATCTCTTCTTCAAGGGTCGCGATCTCCCCTGTGCAAGCGAGTCAAACCCAGGTGCGCGCGGGTGAAAACATCGGAGCACGCGGATGAGTAACGTACCAACAAAACAACGTACCAACAACACGGCGAACTAACCTGCCATACCCATACGTTTATAGCCTGCCATACCTAGAGATGGGTCCCAGAGGCCTGCACCACCTGCAGGCAAGGGCTCGTCATCGCTATCTTCGCCTTCGGCGGCGTCGAAAGGAAGCCCAGCAACTTCCTCCTCCCCACCAACATCGAGCGTCTCGTCCTCGCTCCAAGCCAGCACCTCCTCCAGCTGCCAAGAGCTTGCCTCAGCCGCAGCGGAATCAACCTCCATCTGCTGTCGTAGACTGGTATGAGGCTGGTGTGAGCTGCTGAAGGGAACACCGCTACTATCGCGTCGGCCGCCAGCCGTTGTTGCTGCGGCGGTGTGACCCGTTCAATTCAAATGAGGCGTTGTAGGGTGTGGTTCTGGGAGGCGTTTTCCAGCTGGAGAACCCTTTTATCTCGCCAGCTTTGGCGTATGCACGACCGGCGTTCCTCCGCACACACACATGCACAAACACACGCTCGCAGCTTCCACACGTGTGCTTCGATGAGCAGCAAACACCCTAGCCCTGCCCATTCGTATGGTCGTGGCTTTACATGCCTTCGTTGCCGCTTCGTGTACGAAAACAGGCAGGCATACAACCAGCATGAGTGCGACCCAAACATCAGTACAAGGACACGAGCGAGAAAGATTGCTCCTGCTCCTCGTCATCCCGTTGTTCCGCCGCAACAGACCGAAGGCGGCGCCGGCGGCGACGGCGACGGCGGCGGCTCGTCGTCGTGTTCTTCTTCTTCTGCTGCTGCTGCTGCTGGTCCTGCTGTTGTGCGTAACAATTGTGCCCCAGGCCGCCGTCGATCACACAGCATCAGCAGCTTCAGCAGCATCAGCAGCAGCAGCAGCAGCAGCAGTAGCGGCGGCGGCGGAATCATTCGCAGAAGCATGAACACTGATAGCAACGACAGCGATGAGGAGGAAGAAGAAGAGGGAGAGGAAGAAGGAGAGGGGGAGAAAGAGGGAAAGGGAGCAAAAGAGGAAGAAGGAAAGGGGGAGAAAGAGAGAAAGGGAGCAAAAGAGGAAGAAGAAGAGGGGGAGAAAGAGGGAGAGGGAGACGAAGAGGGAGAGGGAGAGGGAGAGGGAGAGGGAGAGGAAGAGGAAGACATCAGCAGTAGCGACGAACTCATAACCTGTGGAGCCGGGGGGGGTGGAGACGGCGAACAGTCCGGCGGTGGCGATTTTGGCGACGGCGGTGGCGGTGGTTGGGAGGGGTCGGATGACGACGAAGGCGAAGGCCCATTTTTCGAGGGTCCGCCAGACGGGGACAGCAACGGCGGTGACGGCGAACAGCCTGGTAGCATGGACGAACAGCCCGGCGGTGGCGAGCTTGGCGACGGTGGTGGCGGGGGGGGCACCCGGGAATCGAAATCTATGGAGGATGACGAGAAGGAACCGGTGTGGCTTGACAAGTCGCACGAATCCCTCCACAGCATGGGCAAGCGCCGCCTGGTGGACAGCGGGCCTGATTCCCTGAGATACTCCTTACGGGCCTTGGAGCGAGGAGAGTATGAACCATACGAAAGCTTTACCCAGGCCTTGCTTGCGGCTTTCACCAGGATTGCCTCGCCGTCGCGGTTCCAGCTTGGCCTGCTCTTCCATTGCCTGCGGTAGACCGACAAGGACGGCAATGGGATCAACGCCGTCGATGTTCCCGATAGCGCGGACCACTTTCACAGGGATATGCGGGCTCGCTCTCCCCTGTTTCCTGTCTACGGGCAGGACTTCCGGGAGAAAGGCCGCGGCGGGGCTGCAACTTCGGGGGTCGAGGACGCGAGCGACGGTCCCACCAGGCTGGCAGTGTCGATCCCTGCCGGTGTTATGATACAGCGGATGCTCGACTCCCCCGGGTTCGTCCAAAAGCTGTTGGCCAACACGTCTGGGCATACGTTATCGGAGTCAGACAGGGTCAACGGAAGGGTGCCCGACGCCCATGTCATGCCGATTCCTACGCGGACAACAGATGGGGTTCGACAGGGTGCAATGTACGGCGATATTGCCGCTAGTTCGTCCATCTTTGGAATCGACTCGATCATGGTAGGGCAGGGCGACAAGGAAGACCGTGTGGTGGTGGGTGACACTGTTATGGTGGTTGACCTGCCGGGACAGGTGGAAGGGGCCGGTGCGCTGCCCTGCCGGCTCGAGTCGTTGGTCTGGAGCAAGGATTGCGACATCGCCGGTGGTGGTAGCAACGACCGCATCGTAGCACGCGTTCAGCGCTGTATGCTGAACAATGCTCTCTCCGCGGAGATGAAGGTAGAGGAGGATTCCCCCGGTACCAAGACCGGCGTGTGGGAGGTCACGAATGACGGAGTGGATCTGGACACCTCGAAGTTGGTGGGGAGGTGTGAGGTCGTGGTTTCCGACGACGTACACACGGGCGAGGACGGCAGCGCGTTGCCAAGTTTCAGGGGGGTTGGTTTTGTCAAGAGGCTTCGGAGTGGGCGGCACACACCCCTGCCTTCACCAGACCCTGCAGTCAAGCATCTTCCCTGGAGACCAGAGGGGGCAGAGGGCCTCTTTTTACGATCGACGACAGAACGGAAGCCATTGGAACAATGACAAGGAGCGCAGAGTGTTCTTGACGCCGGCCCATCTGTTCACGGACGCCTTCGACTTTCGCAACCAGGTGTGCATCTCGTTTATTTTTTTTTCCTCGTGTCACTCAATTTTGTACTTCTAGGGTTTTGTCATGTTTCATGCTTCTGTACTTCTTTCTCTCGCGGCAGCGAGTCTTTTCTCGCGATTTCTTCTCAGGGGCAAGCAGGAGCCTCGTCGGTACAATATCGCTCGTGCCCCGACCTCCGTAGGCCTCCGTATCGCGTGTGATTGACGGTCAAAGCTGTGAAAACTGGCTCTATACCCCGGGGGCGGGTTCGGCGCAGACAAAGCCTGGCGAACCAATTCTGAAACCCATCCACAACGACAGTTTGAAATATTTACCTCCACATTCATTCATGCATTCGCTGATTCCACATCGCTGTGACTGTTCGTGTTGTCGCAATGTCCAAACAGTACCCACCTACGTTTGTTTGGTCATTTACACGTGGCAGCGATGAACAGTATTTTGTTTGTGACGTTCGTTTCGGATTCAGATTCAGTTCTCATTGGAAACCTGCCACCATTTATCGCAAGACCAATCATAAAAGAGGTCTGAATTTTCGCTGGCAAGTTGTAGTCAGCTCGAGCTGGCTCCAACGTGGAAAAACTGTACGTGCGCGATGTTTTGTACTGAATATGAGCGTTATAAAACTGCCCATCGACAATAAGACACGCCGCCCCTCTTCGGGCAATTGCGCGTGTGTTCCTGCGTCACCCATGTCCCGAACGGAGACCTTGTACAATATATTTTGGCGTGCCTCTCTGGAGGGGTGGGGTGTCCCCCCGCTTTGCTGTTTTGTGGAACCCACACGACGTGCGTCCCGACATGTTTTTATATACTCCGAGTTCGTTTTTTCTTGTCTCGGCCGATTCGCAGGGAGGGGTATCCTACCCCATCAAAGCTACGCTGCTCAGCCCTTTCGCGTCGACCTCTCAAGCTTTTCGTCGTCAGCCTGGGGCATGGCCGTTAGTCGGGCTTTCGGCGCCTAGGGTGAGGTGGCAGGACGATCTGGGCTTCATTTTGGAGGTTATCAGCGTTCTGCAGAAGGGGTGCCGGGCAAGGCTCGCGATTGCGGACAAGGTCGAAGAGGTGAGCTGTAGCTGTCAAGCGACCTTATTTTGTTGCTGTCGCCTGGCGAGGAAATGAGTGTTTTGTCCTCCTCAGCGTCGCACGAGGAGTGGCAGGACGGAGGTGGCAGAACCGCGGTAGCGAGACATGTGCCAGACTGATGATGGAGGTGGCAAGAAGAACGCCTTATTGCTACCCACTCCCCCCTAGGAGCTCCCTCTCGTTGCCCCACACGTGACGGTGGGGTACGTTTGATAGAGAACAACGACAGGACCCTCCGACTCTTGTCATTGATACATGCTTCATCTGGGATCCTTTTGTCTCATTTTTGGCATCGCGTGTCCGGCAAGCACGGGCAATGGGCCCACTCTCCCTTTCTCTCTTTTTTTTTTGCGTGCTCGGGTTCGCTAGATACCCTGTGCTTGGAGGATGTTTTTCTCCGGTTCCTTCTTGTGTGTTTGTTTTTGTCCGTTCGTTGCTTTCTAGAAAGTAAAAGCAGAGACCACAGGACGTTTTTGTTTGTGTGTGTGAAGACGGCAACAACCATCTCTCTCTCTCTCTCTCTCTCTCTCTATGTGTTTTTCTTTCGATCTATCTCTTTTTATCTTTCCATTTCTCTGGCCTCGATCAAGATTAGTTGTTGTTTTCGTCCAGCATCTGGTGAGCCACCTGTATGCGACGTAACGCCCTACAATTCAATTGCATATGCATACGCGGGTTATTCGCTGACTCCTCCCGTCACAATCCCACCCACTGTCCTCCCCCCCACCCCGGCGACCAGGTGTTTTTCCGGCTTGGTTTGTTGTTGTGCGACGCGGATTCACCAGAACGCCAATTACTGTTGGGCATGAAGCGGGTAACCAACAAAACGCTGATGCCATGTCACGTGTGCCCCATCGGCCAAGAGGACCTAGCCGATGGAAACTACGACATCGTGCGCAACCGCCGCACCGATGATCAGACCGAGTACGCCCTTAAGGTGATCAGCACGGCCCCCACCGGGACGCAACGGCAGGCGCTTTCGTCTAAACACGGTGTGACCCCGCAAGAGGTAGAGAACCCTTTCCGAAAGCACGTGCACTTGAACATGGTGCGGACGTTCGGGATAGACCTGTTTCACCAGGACGCCCAGAATTCCCTTCGGAAAATCTTTAAGCGCCTCTTGGGCGGTCTCTCGAAAGCGAAGGGCGTGCCCCTCCTCTCGTGTCTAGCGAAAGATCCTTCTCTGCGAGTCGCCGGCACACCACCGCTCAGGGACTTCGTGAGCGATGGCGGGTTCTCCGCTCTGTCTGGGATGGATGTCTGGACACTGTCGAGTGTAGCCCTCCTCGTCTTCCGCCCGGTCTTGAGGAGCGTGGCGTCGATGGTAAGATTGCCCGACAGGTGATAATACTATAGTCTAGAGCTCTTGATGCTGCTTTGGGTCTAGTGCTGAGGGCTGTCACCATGTGCATGCGAACATACAACGAAATACAACAACACCAATAAACATTTTACTGCTTTTTGCTCCACCTTCGTGTCGCTCGCAGAAACGCCTCACGACCGCGCCATTCCGCAACGACATCCGGGCGGAGCTGGGGGCGACAACAGACACCGTGGTAACAGACACCGAGGTGATGGAGAAACTACGGGCCCTACTGCTCGCCTCCTCCGAGGCGACGCACTTGTTGCGCTCAAGCTCCTTCAACGACGAGACCGTGGCATCCATCGATAGGTCACAGCGAGAGAAGGTACCCGCCCTTGGCTCACTTGGTGGGAAAAATGGTTTATCACCCGCTTGACCTTCGTTGTTGTTGTTGCGCTCCTCCACTAATAGCTAAAAGTGACCACCA